CATTTTAATTCCTTAATGTGATAAAATGATATAGAGGGGTATTATTGCAATAACCTTGCATATTTAAGCCATGGTGCTAATCTACCTCCATCTCAACAGATTGTCTTCTTTCGCTCGCCAATTAATTTATACTTTTCCAATTCGATGTAAAAAAAACTAATCGTACATTCATATTAAAAAGTGGTAAAAAAAAAATAAATAAATGGTAGATCATGGTGTATCATATGATTTAGTGCCCTGATATTGTGTAAAAAATAAATATATGTTAACCGATGATTAAAAAAATATATATACTACTAAATCTTGTAATATATTATCTGGTAGCGAATTATAATGATATTGTAGTAATTCATACATAAAAGAGATATCATCAGATTCAATATTAGTATAACTTTTTTTCCCTTTATTATTATATACACAATCTGTACCTCATGGCTACAATAAGAGTATCAGCTGAGATAAATATAATACATTAAAAGGCTTGATAAAAGCAGCCACACAGTGATGACACTTAAAAATTGAGATTATAGATTATAGAATTTATTTATTTATTTGTTTTTTATATTATAATATTAAGTTAGCATATCTCTACACCAGTTGCGTTTTAAACGCCTTGGAGGATTACCCGGAATAACAATTGCTGAAAGAGCTTAATTAAAGGATTGGGATGAGTTGCAAGCCGATTATGGAATCTTTTATAATAAGTGACTGCTTCTTCTTTTACAGTTTTGATTTTCAGGTCCGCGTGAACGGTATGATTAGAAACAGAAGTCGTTAATTTTCTTAATGTAATATTTTGAAAAGCTTGAATACGATATTACTATAACTTAAGTCATAATTCTGAATATATTGGTTAGTAAATTCATTCCGTTGACAAGAAGAGGGTAAGCTGTTTACATCTGACGTAATATTAACGAATTTGCTGATTCAAAGGTCTTCTGATAACATTGTAATTTTTTTTTATTTTTCAATAATGTATAAATCAATGCATTTTTGTAACTTTCAAACGGTGTAAGTCCACTTGAGATAAAGTTATATTATTTTCATTAGAATGTAATGTAATTGAAGACTGTTTCACATTAACGGAATAGCTAAAGTTATCAGTTATTCAGTATTCTTATACGTTTACAACGGGTTTGTAGATTATCAATAATTGATTTATAATTTTTTTCACATATTAATGAAAGCTATTGGTCTTGATCAAGGCTGAAACTCTTTTTAGTAATTTTACATTCTAATATTATAACAACTGAAAACACAAAAGACATGTTCTTGTACCAAAAAACCCACCAGCTCCGACCCCCTTAACTTCTGTGTATAGAATTAATATATAAAATTAATTAATATATCTATTCAGATAATACATATCAGTTTTGAGATATGGTTGATGGAAATAAATCATATATCTTTAATCTTGATGGAAAATATGTAGTATATTGTGAATATGTTGGATATGGTTTGTTTCGTAACTAATGAAGAATAATCATTGGTAGTTTTTGTAAGTTTATGTTTTTATTTAAAAGAAAACAAATTAAATTGAAAATTATTACTAAAAAAAATGTGTAAGTGAAACAAGACAATAAAATAAAAGCACAACTTGGTTTAACAACAGATTATTAGGTACTTAAATGTATAGCTAAATTAATTTTAGTACGACTGAATAAAAAAACAGTGGGTAAGTGGATGTCACTCTGCTGTACAGTAGGTTACAAGTGGGTCAATGTATAATGAATTGTATTAAACTTGAATTCAATGATATAATATTATTGTATAAGAAAACGATTCTGAGCGGGGACGGTTTGTCAGTCTGGCATTTTTATATTGTTATTATTTATTAATTATTATAGCCTCTAAGTTGAATTAATTTTAGATTCTGATCGGAGAGAAGAAGCTAGTGGTTTTACAATGGTGTTAATTTTTTTTTTTTATCCTGTATACAAAATATCTACCAAAAGGAGTGCTTCGATTTCAACATATAGTATCTTATCTTTTAGCAAATTTCATCAAGATGGTTCCTTACAAAGGTCATTTTTCGATTTTCTCAATAGTTATTTAATGCCACAAGAAAAACCACCGACAAACTACGAAAAACCGCTAAAAGTGGGATTTTAATTTCTAACGCTTTGTGTATCACCATAGAAATGAATTAAAAATAATAATACCTATTATAATATGAATTCAACTTACAGGATATAATAAATAACAACAATATCCAGACAGACAAACCGTCTCCGCTCAGAATTGTTTTTCTTATACAATAATATTATTTCATTGAATTCAATCTTAATACAATTCTTTATACATTGACACACTTGTAACCTACTGTACAGCAGAGCGACATCCACTTACCCACTTTTTTTTTATTCTTTGCTATGATGATAAACAATAAGCGTTAGAAATTAAAATCTCATTTTTAGCGGTTTTTCGTAATTTGTCGGTAGTTTTTCCCCGTGGCATTAAATAACTATTGAGAAAATCGAAAAATTACCTATCTAAAGTACCATCTTGGTCCAATTTGCTAAAAGGTAAGCCACCATATTTTTAAATCGAAGTACTCCTTCTGGTAGAAATTTTGTATTCAGGATAAATAAAAAAATAAACACCATTGTAAAACCACTAGTTTCCTCGCTCCTCTAAGAATCTAAAATTTAGTGTTACCAACACGTGTGAGTAATACATTGATGACAAATTAACACTTTTTGAGATTTCGTTTACACGGTGGAGCATGTAGAAATGCCCACTTAAACTAGATAAATCCCCCTGTAAAAAAGGTGCTCAGAAAGCATAAATATATACTAGTACTAAAGATTTTTAAATATTTTCGATATTTTCGATACGATATCGATATCGAACTACTAACGATACCTTACAATACGATACACAAAATTATATCGTTGTCCACCACTATAATAGATTAATTTTGTTAAATTTGAATTCAATGAAAAATAAAATAATAATAGCATTAGAAGAACAATTCTGAGAGGAGACGTCACAACCTATATTACTAACTATATTTTAAGATTGTATTATATTTATGATGCTATAAAAGTATTTTATTTTACTTTTAGTAATACAGTAGATTGAATTAATTTTTTCCACAAACATTGCATTTGAAAAGGTCGTTATTTAAACTGTGTATAAAATAAAATAATAATATACTTTAAAGTTTCAAGTATACCTATATCCATGAATAATATTTTTAAATATTATAACTAAAACCGGTTTTCTTTGTTTAAATATCTAATTTTAACCAAACTTGGACTTAAAATATATATATAAAAAACGTGGTTATTTATTTTTAGATTTTTTTGTTACATTATTAACTATGTATGACAAACCTTATATTTCGATTTCAAGCCTTACCTATAAAATTTAAACATTTTATGGATTTGTAACTACAATAGAATTTACAAATTGTTTTGAATTGAATTTGAACTTTAGATGCTTATAAAACAACTATATGTATCTGTAAAATGTTTGAACTGCTATTATAATAACATATAACTTATAAGCAATCTTATGATGAATTTTCTCAGATTTCTAACTTTAAACGCTTATATAAAACTAGCTGATCCCATGCACTTTGTTGCCCGTTAAATGTACCAACTCTATATGACTCAAACTTTCTTTAATTCGTTATTGAATATTCTGTGTATGGAGGTCAAAATTTATCTTAACTTTTCCGTTGCCCGGAATAAAAATTCTGATTCACAGCAGTATATTATCAGGTAGATCGCGGACCCAGTGCTGTTTGTACGTAAGTGTATGATTTAACTCTAAAGTATCAAATAGTTTTACCAAGTTTGTCGTATTCCACTTAATTATGGTGGGTTAATATAATCAATTTATACAAAATCCAAACCTTACTAATATCAGATGATTAAATAAAAAAAACAAATTTAACCAATTTTAAATTAGCCTGTCTTCTTCCATGTGGTCTAATCTACACACAAACATTCATTTATATATTTATATATACATATATATTATAATGACAAAAAATAATAATACAAATCAATAACAAACATGTCCAATTACACAATAGCAACTAATATCTAAATATACACTGTTGCGCCACTGTTGTAATTTTTATATCAAGATTTCCTACTTTTCCAGTAGATTTTTCTAAAATTTTCTTTCGTAAAAACCTTCTCCTGGCAATTACGAACATCTAAAAAAAAAATTTGAACCAAAGCGGACCAGCCGTTCTCGATTGATGAGGAGGTCATGACATTTTTCAAGCTCCATTTTTATATATATATTATGTCTGTACTCTGTACTTACAATATGTTTTAATTGGTTTATGAAGAACGTGTATTAAATATTCAAGGCTTTTAAATGAACGAACATTGTATTATCGAAATGTATAAAAATAAAAGATAAAAAAAAATCGAAAAACACAAATGTCTGTATAAACGGCTCAAAAAGAATCAAAATTTTTTAAATATTGTAGCACGTATGGTAATTCTAAAATATACAGTTGGTGAAAATTTAAAGTATCTATGGTTAATCATTTTTGAGCTACATCAAATGAATAAGATTTTGTCACAAACTGGTTTGTGTTGAATTTTTAAAAATTCCTCTATTTCCTTAATTTTTATACTGTTTTTTCCTGAGAATCTTTTGACCACGAAAAGTACCAACTAGATCCAAATCGATACCAGAAACCGCCCTCAAGTAAAAAATCGAAGCATTTTTGAATTGTTCTGCCAAAAAAGATTAAGACGGTCAAAAATTAAAAATAAAAAAATAAAAATATTATATTATAACTGTATTTATTATTTTTGCAACAAAGCTTAGAAAAACTTTTTTTTATGTATTGTAAAGAATATTGTAAACCACCGTGCTTACTAAACTAAAAATAAAAACTCTGCTGTTTGAGAGAATATATGTACCATCCATATTTCACTTAAACAGCAGAATTTATATTATTAGTTTGATAACTACGTTGGTTTAAAACACTCTTACATTTTAATATGATGTCGAAAATCTATTGGTTTTTAATGGTATTTGTAGTTTCGGTGACGAATGGTTTTGCCATAGTTTATGATGTAGAATATCAACATCATACCCGTAAGCCCTTGAATCAGCGGAGCCACTGTTGTACGTTTTGGTTGTACATATTGGTGTGACCATCGCCAATAGGCGCGGGAAAATAATGCAGCAAAAGATTTTGGCGATTTGTTGCGGCACTTTAGCCATTGGGGGACTTCGTAGAGCTTCAGTTCTGAAAACGGCGTGGAGGGAGTGCCATAAAAACGGGCCGGATCGTAAGGTCCATGCACTTTGGGATTGTACTCGGCGGGATAGTCACCAATACCCTTGAACACTCCTGCAGCAGGATGGTCACCGATACGCTTGAACACTTGTGCAGCTACAGGATGGTCCTGTATTTTCTGCATATTGGTCTTGGCTGCGGATAGACGAGAAAAACATCCGTAATTTTCCAAGGCGTTGTTGTAAGTACTATTATTAACATTTAGCACACTAACTCTATAACCCGAAATAAAGACCTTTCTCAAATTCAAAATAATTTTTTAAGATTTTTAAGCATTCAATGTCATATTTATAGAGCTCCTCATTCTGATTATAATATTATAAATAGGCTCTTTTCTATATTACCACTCGAAAAAAGATTAAAACAACTAAATTCCTTTATAAACTATTACACAATATTATAGATTGCCCAGAACTAGTCGAACGTTTATGCTTCAAAATAAACCCCCTAAACTCAAGACATAAACAAACTTTCTATCCACCAAATATTTCATCCAAATATATTTCATTCTCTCCTTCTAATACTCTAATGGCTATAGGAAATCCCATCAATAATGTAGATTTATTTCACTGTTCACTTAATGATCTCTCTTCATATATTCATTAGTTTTCAATTTTTATGTATATATATATTTTTTTTATATTTATATTTTTTCTATCTCTCTCCTTTTCCCCTTAATACATATATATATAGATATATATTATATCTATACTATATTATATCTTATATTCAAAATGTAATTGGAATTTTTTTTCCGTAATAAACAAACAACAACAACAACAATATTAACGTTTAATACATAGAGTCGAGTCTCGAAAACTCGAATCTTAAGTGGTGTAAAAATTACTTGAATTATGTATTTTTATGATTATAATATAGATTACTCAAACGCAGTAGCAGATCTATGGCTTAATTTAGGGGAGGCAAAAGTACAAAAACTACAAAAATTGGCTAAACATAGTGTAAAACAAAGGGAAACTACGGCGATTGGGTGTGCAAATGCCTACTTTGCCCCCCCCCCCCCATTAGTGGATCCACCACTGCTTAAATATAACATAAAAACACTTTAAAAGGGGAAGAAAAAAATTTGAATAATCGAGGTTCGAGTTATCGAGACTCGACTGTACATAGTGCATTGAACTTACCGAAGGAGACAATCATCTGAATGTAATTCATATTGTAGATCAAAAAATATGTACTTGTATGTAATTACGGTTTTAAGAATTTTAAAATATTAATTAAACGTTGAATAATTTAAATTTCTTTTTACAATTTGATTATACTATTTAAACTCCCTTACTAATTAATGTATGTTTGCTACAGTTTGAATTACATAAAACGAATGAACAATTATAAGGCTGAAACTATACAATTATTGTGCCAACAAATAGGTTCGAACAACTTTTTAAGACTGCCGCCTGGTAAATAAAATACAAGTTACAACTGTATTCTGTTGTTATAGGTACGCGTAAGAAAGGTAATGACAATAATAATAATCAATTTACAATTGTCAATAATAACTAATACCTACTATACAAATCGACGAGTCTGATCAATTTTAAATTGTAATTGGCCATACAAAAAAAAAAAATTACGTACACTACTTACCTAATAAACGTGTAGTATCCTACTAATATTATTAACTCGAAAGTTTGTACGTATGTTTGTTACTCTTTCACGTAAAAACTACTAAATGGCTTTTAATGAAACTCTACAATAATATATAGCTTATAAATCAGAATAACACATTGGCTACAAATCACCCCCCCAGGTCCAACCAGAGTATGTGCTCAAACGGGGATTTAGAGATTTACGGTGGAAATTTTCGTTTATAAATGATCGCCATGGGTTGCCACGTCTTCGTGGATGAGGAGGAAACATTGGTCGGCAGACTTGGCATTCACAATTAGTCCAGCCGTTTAGGAGGAGTTCAGTGACATACTTGGCACAACTTTGATACTTTAGAGTTAAATTATAAGATTGCGTACAAACAGAACGGGGTCCGAGATCTACCACAGATAGATTGCCTACCTGATAATATACTGCTGCGAATCAGAATTTTTTTTCCAGGCAACAGAAGAGTTAAGATAAATTTTGAACACCATACGCCGAATATTAAGTAACGAATTGAACAAAGTTTGAGTCATATAGAGTTGGTATACGCATTTAACGGGAAATGAAGTGCACGGGATCAGCTAGTTAATATATAAGTTACCTAGTTAATTAGTTATATTAATTTATATAATAATTATTTTTTGTAATAGGTATTATTATATATGTTTAGAGAGTATTTATTAATACTTGTTATGTATTAGACTAATAACAAGTGAATAAATTATTTAAAACCATAGCACGTTACTCGATATTTTCAATCTACAAAGAAAATCTATTAATCATAAATATATATATTCATAAACCGTACCCGAAATAGATGGAAAAGTCAAAATACCCAACCCTGCAAAATCATATTCAATTACTAAGAGTAATAATATTTATCTGATAAAAACAAAAAACTACTATAATTTCGGCATGGACCAAATCTGCAGGTAATAATAAAATTAATCAATTAACAAAAAATAAAAAAATTTAAAATCATAAGCATTTTTGTATAATTTACTGTATTACAACACTATAGGATATAGTTTATAATATTTATATCAATACAAAAAAAAAAGGTAAGGTTTGTTAAGTTTTTACTGATTTTTTTGCTGTTGATTGATTTATAATTATTTCCTATGTTTGTTTTTTAATCATTTTAAATTTTAATATTACCTGAAGATGGCTCCAGATTGAAACTATAGGTAGTAGTTTTTATTAAATATATTGTAATACGTTTGTATATTGTAATTTCTTATTTTGAAATTATTTATTTGTTACAAACATACTAACTAATTGAAAAAATTTATATTTTTAATTTTATGATCGAAAGCTCATTGAATACTTTTCCAAAAATGTTGATGCATATAACATGTCGAAAATGCGCAAAAATGAACCGTGAAAATTATTGTGGCCAGATCACTTTTAGTGTATATTAATTGTATTCGTTTATGAACTAATTAAGGCCGTAATTTTAAGGGGGTCTAGGGCCTAAGCCCCCCCGTAACGAAATTCATTAAAATTAGAATAATAAAATTGTATGTGTGAGTATTGCCTTTATTAGTTATTTATACCTATAGTATTAATAATAATTTTATACTTTGAACGAAAAAATAATAAGTATCCAGTAACCACAATAAAACAATGTTGGACCAACAAAATTGTTTTTCAGTTACGGCCTTGGATTTAATTTACAATATTGAATTTACACACGTGTGCGTGCAAAACACGTATTATAAAACAAACGGAAACTAGCTATAATATGCGTTGTTAGAAGTTTTGTCCGAAAATTATATTATGACATGATATAATGTAGTAGATTACTAATAATGCAGGATGGTAAAATGCAACACTTCATTTATTAAATACACAAAATACTTTAACTAGTTAAGGAATTTTTGTTTTAAAAAAATATAAGAATTATGATATCTCTTAAAAAAGTTCAACTATAACTTTTAACTAATAATAAGATCAAGTAATAGTCTTTCAAAAAGTGTTAGGTACATATTATAATATTTGGCCCAAATAGGAGGGGGGAAGCTTAAGGGGTATAAGCACCCCCAATTTTAAAATTAGCACCCTCTAATAATTTATGTGTTTATGTATCAAAACTTCTCCTTACAAAAAAAAAAAACCAAAAACAGTTTATTATCAGACATGAGGGTATCAGAGTATATTGAAGGAAACAATTGTCATTTTATCAAATTCAAAACTATTTAGAACATAAATCATTATTTTTCAATGTTTCTACTAAGCTCAGTCGTCGTGGTCGTTGTAGCGACAATTTATGGTATCACGAGTATTTTCTAATATAATTTTATAAACATTCCCGTGCCCACATCTAATTCGGACAAAAACCTAATTACAATATACGAATCACTTGTCTGTAGTTGGTGTTCACTGGAGTTCCAAGTTTCCGACAGTCTGTGTGATTGTGTGGGCCGTATGGTATTATATATAGTACAGATAGAACTGACTTTTTGCATAACTTTTGTTCTAATCAATATTAATAATATTTTTTATATACAATTTATGGTCACTTGCGCTACACATATATTATGTAAAAAATTATTTTTTAACATTGAAAATAAAAAAATAAAAATTTGATATAAATTTGTTTGGATATATTCAAAATAGCCAATTTGTGAATCTGATTAAAAGAACAATTTTGTTACTAAAAACATTTATCTAAGTCAAGTAGTTTTTTTTTAGAATATTTTTAAAATATCAATATTTTTTGATTAAATGAATTTGGAACGTATATCTACGTAAGTTATTATAATAACTTTTTTCAAAATATTTTTTTTGGGAATTCACTGACATGAGTATATATTAATCCTTAAATTATTTACTAATCATATAATTTTAACAATTTTTGTCATACGTTTAAGTAGTCATTTTTTTCAAGTCCGTCTGTTACACCTTGTGTACCAATATTTATTTGTCATATTTTTGAATAAAATATAAATAAGTTGTTTTAAATTTTTAATAAATTAAAATTGACTATTGTAGTAATTTTTACAAAATGTACCTAATACACTATAACTAGGGCCCGGATTTATATGCAATAAAAAGTATCAAAATATGCCATATAATATACAGTAAAAATCATTAAAATATGCAACAAATATGCATTTAAAAAATTCAAAATTATATTAAGTATATGAAAAAAATATAAAATAATGAAATATAATAAAATACAACATATTAATATAAAATAATAAAATATAATAAAATGTAATACATATAATAATTGTATAAATATAATATAATATACTGTGTTTTTAATTTTTATTCTTCATTGTTAAAATTAATAATTAAATGGTGCTCAAGTTTATCCTCGGTAAAACTATGCCGTCTATCTGATAGTAAATGTTTATATATAGAAAATGATCGTTCACAATCCACTGACGTTATCGGGGCAAATTTGAAAGAGCTTAAAATATTTGGGTCTTGATAGTTTTCATCTAGTTGAACTGCTTCCGTTTCCCCTAATAATACTTACGTAATATTTTTAGGCCCTTGTTTTTGGAGAAAATATCATTTAATTTTGTTTTTAATGTTGCCCCTTTAGGTCCAGGAATAATGTTTATTTTTTCTTCTAATTCACTTATTAAACAAAAACTTTCAGATAAAAGCATATTTTGTGTTTTTAGTTTTTTAATTATTTCAACTAAAAATGATAAATGAGCTGATATAAATGTTAGGTAATTCATTCAAAATAGATCTATCTTTAATAATATCAAGTAATATTTGACGCATTGTGCGTCGTCTTCTGCGAGTTTTTAAATTACCTTTTGGTATTTTATAAAATGTTCCTCGTAATATAAATCAGCGACTATGCATTTAACGGCAACTAAACAATGTTGATGTAAATTGCCAGCACGGTTGTAACTCGAGAACAGTTTACTAAATGTTTATTTAATAGCCTGTAGGTAATATTATAAAATTAAATGAATTATATCGATAACGACGATATAACGATTAGATTACAACAGATGAACTATCTATTTGTTTTAGTGGGATTACCTCAACTATTTCTAATGTAATTATAATATGTTACATATAATACGTATTTTAAATTGAGATAGCTAAATTCCGCGACCTATACAGCGCCATTCATTGAATGCATTTATAGACAAATATGCATTTAGATCAAATATGCAAAAATATGCAAAATAAAAATTTAGCAGTGAATTGCTATTACTATGATTCGTGGAGATTATGAACAAAAATATAAAAAAGTTAAAAGGAAAAAATATGCAAAAACGTACAAATCCTGGCTCTAACTATAACTATTCAATGTTAAATTGTCATAAAACATTTTTGCTCAAAAATGTCATAAATGGCTCATATAGTTATAATTTAATTTAAATGCCCAGAAAATGCAGAGCTTAAGCACCCTCAGTTTTTTTTTATTAAAATTGAGCCTATGATTATAATATAATACAATTTTTAAAAGGATCTTTCGCTTTAAAGTCGCAATGGTTGAAGACTGCGTAAACATGTTTATACTTATTTGAATTTTCTATATAATTTCGTGAGTAAGCTACTACCACAGACGATTATGACATGGGGCA